ATTATCCTGTTTTAACATCCCATAGACGGATAGACTAATCTTAACTTCCAGATGTTAATGTATTTCCATCAGGAGAGAAACAGACAGAGCAGACTTTTTCACTATGACCATCCAATTTGGATATTTTTTTTTTACTCTTAACATCCCATAGACAGATAGACTTATCACTACTACAAGAAGCTAATGTATTTCCATCAGGAGAGAAACAAACTGTGTTGACATCATTTTCATATCCATCCAATTTGGCTTTTTATTATCCTGTTTTGACATCCCATAAACGGATAGACTTATCACTACTACCAGAAGCTAATGTATTTCCATCAGGAGAGAAACAGACAGAGCAGACGCTTTCACTATGACCATCTAATTAGGCTTTTTATTATCCTGTTTCGACATCCCAAAGACGTATAGACTTATCATAACTACCAGAAGCTAATGAATTTCCATCAGGAGAGAAACAGACTGATATGATTCCATTAGTATGACCATCTAATTAGGCTTTTTATTATCCTGTTTCGACATCCCAAAGACGTATAGACTTATCACAACTACCAGAAGCTAATGTTTTTCCATCAAAAGAAAAACAAACAGAGTTGACGACATTGTAATGACCATTTAATTAATTTAACTCATGTATTCTTAAGTTGTTCCATTTACAACTTATTAGTGATGCTCCATTTATATTTATTCCACTTATGTTGACATTATTAAATTAGGATCCACTAAAATTACACCTAGCAAAGTTAGCTCCTACTAAAGAAGTATTCTAGATCTATATATTTTCAAAATTTTTGTTCCTAAGGTCTACATTCATCTAAACTAATAAATGTAATGAATTAGACCCCCCCTATATTAAAGTTTCATCAATGGATGTGAGCTGAACTAAAAATTACAGAAATTCAATGATCAATCTATTATCCTTGATACTATTAATTAAACTTTATTTAGATTCTTCATTTTCTTCAGAAGAAAAGTCTTAGTTATTGAAGTCATGATCTTGTAATTTTCTTAAGGCATCTGAAATTTATTTCATATCATTTCTAACAAAAGACAATTTCTATTCTTTATCAGCTTGGGTCATATTCTCTACTTGTTGTAAGATTTATGATTTTAAATGCTTTCGATTTCTATTATCAGAAAGATATCCAATGCAATCTTAAGCTTTTTCCTTTCTTAATATTTTTAATATGACTCCAAAAATTTGTTCATCTACATCCTTAATTTAACTAAATATGACAGCTAGAGCTTCCTACTCCTAAAAAGAGCGCCGCATTTATTTTATTTTTAATAATTAATTTCTATTACTCTAACTTTAAGTTATATGCTGCAAAATCGATAGAATTATCTTCTGCATTTCTGTAAAATAGTAGTTAGGACTTTGTGTAGATTTGATATTGATTATAATTAAAGTAAAATAAGCTATTGAGAATTCATTTCAATATATACATTGCTTGATTTTTCAATAATATAAAATATCTTAATTTCTATATTAATAATTAATTCATACTATATTGGAGTTCTATAATTGATTAATTCATTTTTCAAGTAATCCTTATATTAAAGTATAATTAATAGTTATTCTTTCAACTGGGAATTAACAGAAAGTCATAAAACTCTATTATTATCATTATTATTAGGATTATTGGATTTATAGTTGCAATAGAAATGGTTATTCTTAGAGGTTTTAATGTCGAACTTTAACTTTATAATTATATCACAATAATAGATATTTTATTTAAATTAAAACTATAATAAGTAATGAATGTTTCGATATTTAAAAGAACCCTTAATCCTAAGTAATTTTTATATTAATTTAGGATACAAAAGCAAAAGAGTATTTATGTAAAAGTCATTAAGAAGGTATAGAATTGCTTTTAATTGATGAAAAAAATAAAGTTTAAAAATTTGCTTGTATTTAATGTGTATCAGAAAAATAAGGAAGATATTTAACACTTGAGTAATTGGAGTAGTCGTTTAGTGATTACTAATAATAATCAGAAAAGTCATTAAGACATTTTTAATAATTAAAGAATCAATAAATAAGTAACAGCATTAGCATGTTAAGGCAAGCTAAAGAAGACTATACATAAAAAATAAATCTATATATTAAATAATTAGAGGAAAGTTCAAAGTCTTTTGAAAATATCATTCATTCAACTTTATAATTTAAGGATCAAAATATATTTAAATTAGAATAAGACCAAGTATTACAAATATTAGAACCAGTATATTTGAATCAAAGTCCAAATCATTATTTTTAAATAATAAATAATTCATTAGAATAGGATAGCCAGTTGTATATCAATTTTGAATAAAGTATGAAAGAGTTGATTACACTTCAATTTCAAAATTCAAACCAAATCTTTCTAGAATAATTAAGGCAAAGGTTTTTATTGAAGTCACTTGTAAATAAGATTAAAGAATAAAATGAAAATAATAAATTTGATTATCTTATATCAGGTGATAGTTGTAATCAAGCTAACCTTATTTTTGAAAATTAAATAAATATTTTTCTGTTTAATAAAATGCAAATGTGCATACAATATGAATAATTTGTAAAAAATTTTGAAAATCGTAATAAGCTATCTTTTGAATAAGTCCAATTGAATTAAAATTTAACAGAAGAATAAAATAAATTAAAATAATAATATAATAATTGTGAATA